CAGGATTATCGGGTCATATTAATGACTTCATTGATTTTTTCCAGAGTTGAATGAATATCAATAGAATGCTGTAATGATATCTACCCTAGCTGTTGACTGTTGGAGATGTTAGATCCCTCAGAAACTCGCTTGTTTAATAAATGCCTTATTTTTGAATTCTACGTTTGCTAGCATGAGCTGATCAGTTGACCTTGAGATTAGAGTTCCCACCAGCAAAATCTATGGCTGTGATTGTCTGCTGTGTATTTTAGTGTTGTGCTATTTTCATAACTGTCCCAAGGACGTCGTTTCTATGATGTATAAATAAACGAGTGTTGTGTGTGCTTGATTGTATTGTGTACTTGCTGGGTGTTTGTATATAGAATATACTTTCTACGCTTACAAAGCCTTTTTTTACTTCAGCTTGGAATTCAAGGTAGCCTACCTGGACGCTGGTTCATTGTCTCGTTCGCATTTATCGATCGACTAAGGTGAACTCGTAATAGCCTCAAGCATACTTAGTGACGAACATATTACTGACACGATTAACATCTACACTCAATTAGAAATTCTTGTTACAAATTCAAGAATTTACTTTATACTACACTAGTGTGTAAATAATTAGTGTTGTTTGAAGTAAAGACCGATGTCAGAGAAGATTGTTTACTCTCAAGCTTCCCATTTCTCCAAATGATCGACTGGATTATGAAGGCGTTAACATCTGGGGTGGGAGCACGGGATAAATTGGACAACTAGGATGCAGCTGAACGATTTGGACTTCGTAGATGTGTAGTGAAGGAGAACACAGGTGAGGGCAACCGAATTGTATTTAACGAAAATTACAGAGCTACTCAGTAAAATCGGAAAACCATATCGTAAATCGTTAATTTGCAAATCTTCAATCCATCATCAATCCATTGTCTGACATTTCACTATTCATGCATTTCATACAAATTCCATTGTGTTCCCACTCTTCTTCCTTTCTTGATCTTCCCTCATCTTCTGCTGCCAGACATTACGTTTTCACTCGCGTCATATACTACTTATAAGTTGCGCGCACCACAGATGATCTGGCTCTTCTATCGCTTACGCAACAGCTAATGCAGGAGAAGACGACCAGTGTAGCAGCAGCCTCAGCAGCAGTAGGTCTCAACATACGTACACAATGGGAAAAGCAAGATTCTACGATACAACACAACATGCACCAAACAACGCACACTTGATGGAGACCACTAGGAGGATGTACAACCATATACATATTTGGGCAGCCTAACTGAGGAGCACGGTGTATCTGAAGCAGATATGAAAGTGAGGATCGGCAAATCGAGGGTTGCATTTTTACAACTGAACTAAATCTGCAACTCAAAACAATTATCAACAAACACCAATGTCACAATTCGCAATACAAATGTCAAGATAGTTCTACTATATATAGCAGAAACTTGGGGAACCACGAAAGACAGTATCCAGAAGTTACAAGTGTTTATTAACAGTGGCCTATGCAAAATACTACGGATCCATTGGTTAGACACTATCAGCAACAACCTATTGTGCGAAAGAACAAACGAGATTCCAACCGATGAATAAATCAGGAAGAAGAGTTGAAAGTGGATAGGACACAACATTGCGGTAAGCACCCAACTACATCACAAGACAAGCCCTCACCTGAAATCGTCAAAGCCAAAAGAAAAGAGATTGACCAAAGAACACGTTATACCGAGTAATGGAGACAGACATGAGTAGAATGAACAGCAATTTAGACAGAACTATAAACAAAGGCCTAAGACAAAGTAGTTTGAAGAATACTGGTCTGCGGCCTATGATCCATTGAGGGTAGCAGGCCTAAGTAAGTAAGTAAGTAAGTAAACAATTAGTGTCTTTTTAATCAGTTAGATTGATCACTTACAATTTCGGGATCGTTTCTATGATGAATTGATTTCAGCTGCGAAATCATTTTTTTCCAGCACAATCCTTATCTCATAATCATTCGAACACATGATCTTCGGTTCTTCGGTCATCCTTCGAACCAGGTGGCACTTGTGATACCATATTGAAGATAAATACCACTAAATACCGATTAAGTAATATAAGTATGAAGTAATTGCCTGTAAATCTAAAAGTCTTCGATGTGGATCTTCGAAAAAGTCGTAAGTTCTCACTATGAAGCTGTGTTGCGTAATAGAGCCGAACAGATTTTACAAGTTCCTTACCGTTCAAACATATATGTGCACTGATATCATCAGTTCATAATGTATCCCAGCTACAAATCAATCCATGCTCAGCCGAAATATGCATAATAAAAATTTTCAGTACATACTTGAAGTTTAACCTGTTCGGGTGTAGACAGTAACTACTACCGAAGACTGTGTGAATTGATCGAAGTTAGACATTAACATCGTTAGATACCGGCTCAGTGGTCCAATGATTAGGCGTTCGCCTACAATACCGAGGCTGCTGGGTTCGAATCCTGCGGGGTGCAGGAGTCGTGGATGCTCACTACCGCTGATGAGTCCCATACCAGGACGAAACGGCCGTCTTTCAGTTTTTTTCCAGGTTTCTAATGGTTTGGGTCTAACATTGATCGATTCATGCTTTCAAAAAAATGTGTAACTTAACAACAATCTTCACAACCCCGTAATGCACATACTTCTATATGTGTCACATAGATTCTCTCCCCTGTCAACATAAACCGGCAGCATACAATGGTAATCTTAATCGAATTACATGAATTCTGATTGGTTGACAGTAAATTCAACCTTAATATTTTTACATGAACAAACATACACTTCGCTCACATGTCTGTTTTATTTTACAGAAGGATACATATTCGATATGGTATATATCTTTTTTTTTACACTAATTTTCTCTCCCTTTTTTACATATCTCTCTCTATACTCTACCTCTTAACTTGCTTATTGTCAAAAGCTGAATGAAATCAAATTTCAACCAATCATTGATCAGGAAAAAGAAACAGTTTTTATTCATACTTTCATTTTTAACCAATCAGAAAATTCTAGTCAAATTGCGACCATATCGAAAAGAATATTACTACTACTACTACTAGTACTACTAATACTACTAATAATAGTATTATGGTTAGGGTGGATGTAATCGAATTGTAACAAGTGGAAAATTACTTGATTTCTTTTGTTCAAGTGCATTTTTTAATTTATTAACCGACTAGCAGTGGTTTCAATCAATATATTCTATGAATTGCAAAGTTGGAGAGATTATTTATAATTTAAATGTCAACTACATACATTAACACTGTATGATTTGATTTAAACAACGAGATATTATTGATTTGTTGTATTTGGAATTATTCAAACACTAGGTAAGTTGTATAAATTATGTGGTCGTATAGTCGTCATTCATGGTCAGATTAATGTTTTATTTAACTATTGATTTACCGTTTTTTCGGGTTTGGGTGAATGAAGAATCATTGTGAGACCAGCAATCGAGATTCATAAGCACTGAGAGATGGATATTTCATCCTGGTATGGGGTTACTTACTTATGAGTAGCAGTGTGTATCCACGACCTCTGCTCACTGGAGTCTAACCGAAGGCCTTCTGCCTTGAGCACACGAACGCTTAACCTCTGGACTACTTATTCAGCCGATAGTCTAACGATGTTAATGTCTAACTGTGATTAATCTAGGAATTTTGCCCTAACTCACCCATCCTTGTCTTCGGTAGTTATTGCCTACACACTAGAACAGGGTTGAACACCATTGGTTATATCTTCTCATAAGAACTCCAAGAATTTCTTCACGAAGCTTATCATTAGTGAGCAACTTTCGTTGAATACCTATGAGGGGATAACTGTCTCCTATCCCAACAGATTTTGTATTGCACTGCTCAGATTTTTGTGAATAATTCTTAGGCTAGAATTCACTCACTGAATGTGTATGACTTTTGCGATGATGTAACTTTTTTCGTTGATCATGATTACTGACTGCACTCACCACTACATGTTGGTGAGAGTCTTTCTGTAAGTAACTCTTGAATGAGCACTGTGAATAGTAGGAACCGTTGAACTATTTAGACTGTGACTAATTCTTTGGAGGATTGAAGTATTTACAGTGATTAATTATACATAAGTAATCTGTATTTATGAGATGTTACTTTAAGAAAGATTTCTGTTAACGAAAAGTTTGATGTTATTTCCGATTATTTAATTGATATTGTTTCAATCTACTCATATTCACTAATTCAGAGATAGACTGTATGATTTAGAAGTAGTGTGGTGCGAACTACTTATAAGTAGTATATGACGTGAATGTCAGTCAAAGTAATGTCTGGCAGCAGAAGATGGGGGAAGATCAAGAAAGTAAGAAGAGTGGGAACACAATGGAATTTGTATGAAACGCATGAATAGTGAAATAACTGTCAGACAATGGATTGATGATGGATTGAAGATGTGCAAATTAACGAACGGTTACGATATGGTTTTCCGATTTTACTGAGTATCTCTGTAATTTTCGTTAAATACAATTCGGTTTCCCTCACCTGTGTTCTCCTTCACTACAGCTTAGTTAACCTTCAGCTTACACATTTCCTACTCGAATTATCTCTGACTATCATTGGTTGATGGGTTATTTTCGTACGTAATCTTGTGGCTCCCCAAAGGACGTTTCTAACATTGTATAACTAAGCTTGATTTGTATGCTTAGCAACCTCACATCTTCTGGGTGCTTGTAGAATACACTCTCTACGCCTTATCAAGACTTCTTGCTACAGTTAGCCGAACCGGGGACAAACAGATTAGAATAGCCTATCGTGTCACTGAATCATTTCTCTTCGTTCCGTTTACCGAATAAGGTGAACTTGTCATAGTATTCAAGCATACCCATTGACAAGCATATCACATACTTGAAAAATCTTCACTCTAGTTTCATTTCAAAGGATGAAATGATCAAATCTAAAGTTTGTAAAAATTTTGAATTTTCATGAAACCCATTTTATAAAATGAGCCGAAAAAAAAAACTATTTTCACTTTATTCCACCTAGATTTCAAAAAATGAAGAATATTGAAAAGTATACTAAAAATTCTAACGAACAACAACTTACACGTTCATGTTGTGCAAACTTGATTACATCATCAGTAAATACCACAATCCTACCATCATCATCATCATCATCATCATCATCACGTACGTCATCAGCATCCTTGTCAACACAACAACAACAACACCAATTACCTAGTACTTCGAATTCAATATTCAATTTCGATTTTACTTCAACAACAACTTATCAAGAATGGTTACAAATGATGAAACATTTACAACATAACGATCATTTAAAACAATTTACCAATAATAACAGTAATAATAATATTCGAACGGAATTACACTCTCATTATTCATCGCCTACATCTTTCATTGAAACTAACAATAAAAACATTGAACTATTGAACAAGAAATATGATCCGCTACATTCAAACAATTTAATATCACAATATTATTATTATTATTATTGTAATTATTATTTTGGTTTACAAAAATCACATGAATTTCTTCAATCACAACAACAAAATCAACTTGATAATAATAACAGTCATAGTGAAATATTTAAATTTGACGGAACCGCCGATACAACATTCAATTCAGATAAACAAAATAGTTCATTGAAACATTTAACACCATCTGTTCATTGTTCAATTTCAACATCATCAACATCAACAACTGCGACAACAAAATCTATTGTAAAAAATTCACAATTATTTTCTTCTGCAAATAATTATTCACCAATTTTATTTGAAGGTAAGCTGAACTGTTGTTCCGATTTTGTTTTTGTTTTGATTGAGTGAAATTTAGTTTTTGGCGGGCGAAAAAAAATCACTAGACTAAACAAACATGATATCTATTGATACTCACTCATTATGTTAGTTCTTGGTCGAATAGCTTAGTGATGACTATGAAATTGGATGATTTGGGTCTGAGTCCATCAGAGAATATCGATTTTTGTACGATTTTTACACTTTTGAAATCACCAATCAATCATTGTTAGACCACACCATTAGAAACCTAGAAGCACTGGACGGCCGTTTCGTCATGGTATGGAAATCATCAGCAGTGCGCATCCACGACTCCTGCACCCCGCAGGATTCGAACCCAGGACCTTCGGTATTGTAGGCGAACGCCTTACCATCGGATGAGTCCCATACCAGGACGAAACGGCCGTCCACTGCTTCCAGGTTTCTAATGGTGTTCTGTCTAACAATGATTGATTGATGATTTCAAATGTGTAAAAACGCAAACCTCCAAAACTGTGCCCCAAAATTTTGTAAGAGTGTAGGTTTGCTTGGTTGAAAAGTGCCAATTAATGGGAAACTTCAGTCAGACAGGATTTTTTGTCGACTAGCTCCAATCACTGAACGCATCAGCAGTATCAATTCACTGAAACTTGTGACCACATCATTGCTTGATTAACAGACTTTGATCAATATTCTGAAGAACTAGATAAACATAAAATCTGGAACTCCAATCAACTTTCAACCAAAACCAAAATAAGGATTTTCAATACAAATGTGAAGACAGTTCTACTACTGTATGGAGCGGAAACTTGGAGAACTACGAAAGCCATCATCCAGAAGATACAAGTATTTATTAACAGTTGTCTACACAAAATACTTCGGATTCGTTGGCCAGACACCATCAGCAACAACTTACTGTGGGAGAGAACGAACCAGATTCCAGTGGAGGAGGAAATCAGGAAGAAGTGGTGGAGTTGGTGGATAGGACACACATTGCTGAAAGCACCAAACTGCGTCACGAGACAAGCCCTTACATGGAACCCTTAAGGCAAAAGGAAAAGAGAAAGGCCAAGATATACATTACGCCGAGAAATAGAGAAAGATATGAGAGGAATGAACAAACATTGGACAGAACTGGAGAAGGAAGCTCAGGACAGAGTTGGTTGGCGAAAACTGGTGAGCGGCCTATGCTCCATTGGGGGTAACAGGCGTAAGTAAGTTAGACAAACATAAAACTTACCACTGATCAGTATTCAATCATCAATATGAAATTGAAACCTCTGAACAGGACTGTGTTTATTAGCCCACCAACACTATAGATCCATTGTTTAAACTAAGTTTAGTATTTTGTAAATGATCTCAGAAGATATAGCTTGGTGTTATACGAAATATGGACAACAACATGAATTTTTTTAAAATTATGAATCGGTCAGTGTTAGAACACACCGTTAGAATTGTGGAGGCACTAAAAGACGACTCCCGCAACTCACAGGATTCAAAACCCAGGACTTGCGGTCTTGCATGCGAACATTAGTTACATCAAAATTTCTTTCAGTTTGTCAACTAAAAAACTGAAGAGTGAGAATTTCTCAAAACGTATACATTTAATCCCTAAATCAGTCAGAGTTAGACATTAACAGTGTTGAATGTCGGTCTCGATGGTTCAGAGGTTAGACGTTTGCCTGCGCAAAACCGAAGGCCCTGTGTTCCAATCCTGAGTGGTGGAGGATTTGTGGATGCGCACTACTGATGTGTCCCATACCACGAGGATGAGACGGCCCTCCAGTGCTTTCGGATTTCTAATGATAATCCACGAATGATTGACTGATGATTTCAATGTGTACACCTCTAATGTTTACTAGTGAATACACAATTGTAATCATGATAATCTTACTTATACCAGTCAAAAATGTTTAATGTGATAGAGAGCTTTTACTTCAAGACATTTTAATAAATGATAAGATATGTAAATTAACCGCTTGTAGCATGTTCGATCTTACAATATTTATTCGTTAAAATAATTTATGTGATAATTAGAAATATGTTTTATTTGTCTTTCAATATTCAATAAATATATGTATTGAAATTTGAAAACTATGAATTAAGTTCCGCTTAAAAACTCTTTAAAACAACCAATCATTGATAGACCACCATTAGAAACCTGGAAGCACTGAAAGACGGCCGTTTCGTCCTGGTATGTGACTTATCATTGGTAGTGAGCATCCACGACTCCTGCACCTTGCAGGATTCGAACCCGAAACCTTCGATATTGTGCGTGAACGCCTAACTGCGGAATACCACGAAGCACAGGAAAACTATATCATATCAAGTAGTATGAAACTCCTTAACAGTATACAAACAACTACCCTACTCCCGCGTGAAACCAGTAATTGTGCTAAGCGATGTAAAAATCTATCTTCAGATATTTTTCCAATTAGAGTAATGGAAATAAGTGTTTTTTGCACATTTGAAATCATCAACCAATCATTGATAGACCACCACTGAAAACCTAGAGGCGCTGGACAGCCATTTCGTCCTGGTATGAGACTCATCTGCAGTGCGCTGACACGACTCCTGAATCTCGCAGGATCCGAACCCAGGACCTTCAGTCTTATGCGCGAACACCTAACCTCTGGACTATTGTGCTGGCATCCAACAATGTTTATGTCTAACTCTGATTGATCTAGGGATTTTGCGCGTCCTCACCTATTCGTCTTTGGTAGTTACCGCCGGCCCAGTGGTCCAGAGGTTAGGCATCCATGCACAATATCGAAGGTCCCGGGTTCGAATACTGCGAGATGCAGGAGTCGTGGATGCGCACTGTTGATAGGTCCCATATCAGGACGAAACGGCCGTCTTTCAGTGCTTACAGGCTTCTAATGGTGGTGGTCTAACAATGATTGATCGATGACTTCAGATAATTATCATAAAATTTACTTCTAGTTGATGTGTAATAATTATTTATTAAATCATTTTTTTTAATCTAGACGTTTTCATTTTTATTGTTGTTTTAATTAGGTCAAGGACGAGTAAATCAATTAGGCGGTATGTTTATAAATGGTAGACCATTACCATATGAGACACGTTTAAAAATTGTTGAATTATCCAACAGTGGTATACGTCCATGTGATATATCACGTCAATTAAAAGTATCCCATGGTTGTGTCAGTAAAATTTTACAACGTTACAGTGAAACAGGTAAGTGAAAGATTTGTTGAGTTAATATCCTTATTGAAACTTGAACGCAATACCTTTTTGGTGAATAGTACTCATAAAAATTACATATAAGTAGTATGTAAACGTCGTGAGGTTGCCTAAAAGTTGTCATAGTGAAAGGAGATTGAAATGTAT